GCACAGTCACAGCATCCTAACGACCGCACATAAAACAAAAAAACGCAAGTACCCCCTTGCCATACTCCACAGAAACAATGGCTGCAAAAACCTGCAAAAAAATGAAGCAGAAAACGCTGCAAATGCACCTTACCTCAGCCAGCTCACAGGAACTACCTGCGCAAGATGGCGCAGATGGCCCGAGCTCACCAGCCTCCTTTTCGGAAGTAAGTGACACTGATCACCACATGGCTGACTTAACTACACCAGTCACAACAGCTACTCTCAAAGCACTGCTCGCAGACCTGCAATCCACTTTCCACACTGACTTGATGCAAGTGGCTTCGGATATAAGGTCAGATATCCAACAAGTGGGCGACAGAACAGCTAAGCTAGAGGAGAGAGCTGATGAAATAACAGATGCACATAACACTCTGGTAGAAGCCCACACAGAGTTACAAACCAAACTCAGGAGGCTTGAAGACAAAATGGCCGACCATGAAGACAGGGATCGGCGTAACAACATTAGGCTGAGAGGGATACCAGAATCTGTCACAGCTCAAGAGCTGCAATCTTATGTCCAATAAATATTTAAGGCATATGTACCAGACCTGACAGAAGGAAAACTTCTTCTTGACCGGACCCACATATTACCCAAACCGAAACACCTGGGCCCACTAACACCCAGGGATGTCATCACCAAGCTGCACTATTTCACCGCTAAAGATAAAGTCATGCAAGCGGCACGGAAAAACCCTCCACCACCTGGACGCTTCAACCAAATAAAATTATTTATTGATCTATCAGCGGCTACCATGGTGAAAAGGAGAGCTTTCGCCCCCATAACTGCGGCACTACGAGAGGCGAATGTCCAGTACAAATGGGGCTTCCCAACAAGACAACTGGTTAAATGAAATGGAACGGATTCCAGTATCCTGTCTCTAGAAGAAGGGAAGAAGATACTACAAAGCTGGGACATTCCTTTCACTAACGGGACAATGCCTGTGTCTAAACATAATACATCGCCAATGAAACTAGCCAGAGACTGGTCCAAAGCGATAAGTGCCCGCACACACGAATATCCCTGATCTCGGCAGAGGGGCGATAAGTATACAGATGAAAAGAGCCTAGTTTTTATGCTCTTCAAACTCAATTGTTTTATGTTAATAGAAAGTTTTTGTATAATACTTACCTTGGCTAGAGAAAAGCTGATGTAACACCGTATGGAGCACCAATTCCACTGCGGATTTATCACTATATCCAGTGATACTAACGCAGGTCACCCACCCCCCAGGTGGCTTAGTTATGAGCCGCATATCTAACCGTTTTCTAAAAAGTGGTCGACCCTGCTCGACCAACGGTTTTATGTACATAGTTCACGTGTTTTTCCCTTTTATGTTTCTCTCTCCCCTTATGTCTTCAACCCCCACTAAATATGTCTATGGTAAGACCTCAGGGTTTGCACTAACATTTCCAAAGGCATACATGCTGCCCTGCCATTACGTACACACTGTGCATTGTGAGCCAGGTCCAGAGTTGACAACCAAATACATGGCTTATGCCAAGGCAACTGATATAGCCATGGGCCTTTGGGCCCTCTTAAATACGATAAAAAAGCCCCCACAAACTAAGGGGGACACAGGTCCATTAGCCTTTAACCATGGCGCTTAATATATGTTCCTTAAACACCAAAGGGCTCAACTCTCCACACAAAAGACGCCTAGCGTTAAAAGAAGCCAAGGCCCTAGATGCCACACATTTCAAATGGGGACACCACCAAAAAATTCAACTCCACAGCATACCCCATAGACTTCCATGCCTGCTATGCAAAAAAAAAGAGGAGAGTGTCCATTTTAATAAGCAAGGATGTAGCCTTCTCGCTAGTCCGTAAAATTGGAGACAAGAAAGGCAGATATATAGTGCTACAATGCTATGTAAATAACCATCCATACATGTTTATTAAAGTCTATAGCCCTAATGATCGCCAAATTGAATTTCTGGAATTGGTCCTAATGTTGTGTATGAAACATGCTTTTGGTGATGTGGTGGTGGGCGGGGATACCAACTTTTTACTGGACAACTATCTAGACTCCTCACACCAGAAACCCTTACAAAACCACACACTTAAAACCAGACGGAAACTAATCACGCGCATCCGGCATCTCCTCACGGCCCATAGCTATGTAGATCCGTGGAGGGTACAACACCCTAGTGAAAGAGACTTTACGTGCCACTCTGCAGCGCACAACTGCTATTCCAGAATAGATAGATTTCTGGTCCCATCAGCAATGCTCCCGAGAATAACGAAAACCCACATAGGGATAATTAGCTGGTCCGACCATGCCCCCATTACTATGTCCTTACTAGAGCAATTCCCAACAAGAGGCCGAGGAAGCTGGCGCTTAAATGACGGGCTACTAAGTGACCCAAAGGTAATGGAACAGGTTAAACAAGACCTACAACACTACTTCCAAGACAATGCAGAACCAAATTCCACCCCTGACCAAATATGGTTAGCCCACAAAGCCGTAATCAGAGGTTGCTTTATTAAACACGCTAGCTATGCCAAGAAGAAACGCCTCGAGAATTACACTAACATACTGAAGGAACTAACTGAGGCTACACACTCAAATAAGTTAACTCCAACCTCTTCCCAGCATGCCAACATATTACGATTGCAGGGCCAACTGCGGGACTTTGAGTTAGCTAAGTCGACACTAATGCTGCGAAGAATGAAACATGGGTTCTTTTCCTCGGGGAACAAAGCAGGTGCCAAATTGGCCTCCCAGCTCAGGAAACGCACAAGAGCCTCCAAAATATTACATCTCCTGGGTGCCAAAGGGGAAAACATATTAGACCCACAACACATAGCAAACTCATTTGCCGCCTACTATAGCAAACTCTACAACCTCAACGCAGACCCACTAGTGCCCACCCCTTCCATAACTGACATAGATGGGTTCCTAGCTGACATCACACTCCCATCTTTAAGCGAAGAGGAAGCTGAATCTCTCCGTACCCCCTTTAGTCTCGAAGAAGTTTCCTCCATAATTGACTCCCTCCCAGCGCACAAAGCACCCGGCCCTGATGGCCTAACTACATCCTTCTACCGCACGTACCAAGCAACTTTAGCCCCACACCTACTACACCTCTTCAATCATAACATAGGGAAGGGGACACTGCCAGACGAAATGCTGTTGGCACATATCTCCACGTTGCCCAAACCAGGAAAGCCGCCCACAGAGTGCAAAAACTTCAGGCCTATCTCCCTACTCAACTGCGACGCGAAAATATACGCTTAACTACTGAGTAACAGAATGGCTAGACTCCTACCCAAACTCATAAACAACGACCAAACTGGCTTTATTAAGGGCAGGCAAGGGTCAGACAACTCCAGGAAGGTGCTAAACCTTTTAGCTGAACTGGAGGGACCCAACGGTCGGGCCTTTTCTTGGCGCTGGACACGGAAATGGCCTTTGACAGGCTGAACTGGGGCTATATGCAAAAGGTACTACACAAATTCGGTTTTCCACAACCCATAATAACCCAGGTCATGGCACTGTACACCACCCCAGCCGCCAAGGTGGCATGCGGCGGGTTCCTATCCACCAAGTTTCCCATCACAAATGGGACTAGGCAGGGCTGTCCACTCTCCCCCCCTGCTATATATTCTTTCCTTAGAACCGCTAGCCCAAGCAATTAGAGACCATGAACACATATAACTTTTAAAGGTAAAGAATACCGTCTTGCCCTCTTTGCAGATGATATCATAGTAGCCCTCTCTGACCCAGAACGAGCAATACCCCACATCCTTGCCCTTTTGAAAAAATTTGGGGACATATCACACTACAAACTCACTCAGGATAAAATACAAGCGCTACCTGTTGGAATACCTAAAGACACAATTGATAACTTAAAAACCCTCTATCAATTTGATTGGAGAAATAGCACCCTAACATACTTAGGGGTTAAAATAGCACCTACAATAGCAGGCGTCATAAAGCATAACTATACACCCCTACTACAGATGTGCACGAACGAACTAGGAGGGTGGAAAGCGACCCACCTAACGTGGCTAGGCAGGGTAAACACGTTCAAAATGATGACCCTCCCAAAACTCCTCTATGTGTTCCGCATGCTCCCACTCCCGATACCCTCTACACTTTTTAAAACTCTACAGTCCTCCTGCAACTCATTTATCTGGGGAGACAAAAGAGCGAGACTTCCACTAAGACTCTTACATAACTCACCTACTAGGGGAGGAGTGGGTCTCCCCAACATTCACTTATACTTTAAGGCAGCCGCCTTGGCGACAAGCATTACGGCACACTCACCCCAAGACCACACACAATGGGTGGATATAGAGAAGGACCAATTCCAGGACAAATCCATAACGGCCTATCTATGGACCCCAAAACACCTCCGATACACCCACAAACAGCTTCTCCCAATCACTAGGCTGACCATAAGGATATGGGATACCTTTATGGCCCAAATAGGCTACAAGCACAAGCTACACCCCAAAGCCCTTTTGACAGCATTAAAAACTATAACTCAATCACTGTCTCTCACAGACTGGACGCTCAATGGTATTACCAGACTTGAACACCTCCTGGAAACCTGTCATAAACTCTTAACGTTTCCAGACTTGCAACGTAAATGGGATATACCGGCCCATGACACTTTCAAATACCTTCAAGTAAGGAGTATATTGACTGCCCATGCTTTACCCCAACCAACCCCAACCGACTCAATAAACTCGATAGCACCTTCCCTGGTTATGCTCAGATGCAGAGAAACACCGACTAAGCCCAAAGCCCTCTCCATATGTTACAGAGCATGGCTAGAATTGCAGCCAGATGTACCACCGCTATGCAAAACCCAATGGGAAAGAGATTTAGATATAAAACTCACAGAGAGGGAATGGTTGAGGGCCCTGAATGGGCTGTCGAGGTGGACAAAATGCTATTCCCATATAGAAGCCCACAAAAAACTACTCTACTGTTGGTACCTTACCCCATCTAAACTACACAAGATATACCCAACAGTGTCTCCCCTATGCTGGAGATGTGGAGTGGAGACAGGCACAATGAAGCACATTTGGTGGGCCTGCACTGGCATGACACCTCTATGGGAAGATGTCCGCGCACTGGCGGCACAGTTGGGGCTTCCAGACTTCTCCCCAACCATTTCCAGCTGCATACTATTCCTACCAGATGCTAGGGTACAGCCGACCCAACGACAACTTATAGCATTGATCTCCCTAGCAGCCAGAAATCTTATAGCGACTAACTGGAAAAGCACAGTGTGCCCATCAGCATCACAATTGAAAGATAAGGTACAGCAATACTACATTTATGAAAAAATGTCTCTGACCTCCGCCTCCCAGACCCTCAAATTTAAAGAAACTTGGTGCAACTGGACCACTTTGACAAACAATAGACCACAGAAGTAAACCCAAAAGGTACAAGCCCAACCTCTGGAAACCTGCAGATTATCTAAAATTAGAATGCTTCCCGACTAAAGTAGCATGCCCTGCCCCTCTTCCCCCCTCTCTCTCTGTTCCCCCCCTTTTCGTTATGTTACTGTTTCCCTCCTTACACAGATTCGTACGCCAATACTATGCATTGACTATGGGTATATAACACTTAAACTCTCATGAGATACTTATCCATTCTTCATGATTGTACTAGGCCATGTAAACCAGCAATTTTATGACCCAGAAGCAAGCTGCGACTTGCACCCCTTTATACTCACTGTTCAGACATGTGCAACTGTGTATGGTAATATTTATTAATGCAAACTCAATAAAATACAAATAAAAAAAAAAAAAAACTGTCCCGATAGGTAGCCAAAGTACCAGGTTAACAAACTGTGGACCCAAGAGTTTTTATTTCCCTCTCACCGGCCGGATAAGAGTGATTCTGGATCTCTTTGTGTTGTTGAAACACTGGATACCTGCTGTGTGCGTTCCACTGCGTCTCTGGATGCGTTCCACTTGGCTGTCTCTCGGGAGCTCGTCTGGGATGCCTGCCTTACGCATTTCGCGATCGGCTGATCACTTCATCAGATGATGGCATCATTCCGGTTCTTTTTTTTTTTTTTTAAACCTCCTGGTCTAATTGTCATATGGGGTTATTAACCCTTAGTGCATCATTATAAATTTCTCAAAAAACGAATTACCCTAAAAATTTAATTAAACAATGGACCATTTGTACTGTGAAAAATAGAATGAGTATGATATAAATTAATTAAAATTAGGGTTGTTAACCCTTAGTTAATAAATGCATCATTAACAGAGACAACATCATTTAAAATTGGGCTACAAAAAAGTAGTGGACACCATTGGACATCATATTTAAAAGTAAAAGATATACAGATATATAAAAAATGGAAATGTTCAATTGGGAAGGTACTTTGAACTAAAATGGAATATAAGTAACATATTTTATACAATATTATTTTGTCATGCATAAAAATAGGATGGAAACTTGCACATACACATCAATCTTCGTGTGAAGAAACACTATGAACGTTGAATTAGTAGCATAATGAGCTGCAGACATTATAAATATATGTAGAATAACAAGAATAAAAGGAAATATGATATCACACTTTGCAAGATTTGTAAAAAAAAATAATCTATGAGGTAGTTCTACCCCATATCTTAATATAGGTAACATATTTTATACAATATTATTTTGTCATGCATAAAAATGGGATGGAAACTTGCACATATTCATCAATCTCCATGTGAAGAAACACTATGAAGGTTGAATCTGGAGCATAATAAGCTGAAGACATTATACATATATGTAGAAAAACAAAAATGAAAGAAAATATAATGTCACACTTTGCATGATTTATATGATTTTTAAAAATCTATTAGTTAGTTCTACCCCATATCGTCATAAAACCACATCATTCAGATCTGTAAGGGATACAAATATGATAATTAATGACATATTGGATATACAGCAACAGGTTTTAATTGGAATTATCTTGTTCAAGCTTCAAGAAAATGTTTAAACGAGATGATACATATAAAATGGATAAATGTATAAACAAATGGTATAAAATAAAAATAGAAATAAGAATAAAAATAAAAAATAAAGATAAAAATAACATAAAAAATAAAAAAGTGAAAAATATAAATAAAAAATTAATAAAAAAATAATAAATAAAAAATAATAAAAAAACAGAAATATCCAAAAATAAATCAAAACTAAATAAAATAAAGAATAAAGAATAACCACAACAGGATTATAATCCTCTAACAAAATGGCCCTATATAGCTGATTATAATGGTTGAATGGACTACTATTTTGTCTAGTACCTAATCTATCCATAAAAAAGAATGAAGTAAAGGATATAAAAATATAAGTGAATAAGAATTTAATAACAAATACTCTAAAAAATAAAAAAAATCATAAGAATCATCATAAAATAGAAGGGAAAAAAAGGGGGGATAAAAATATTTATTATTGTGGGGGGAGATGCCTCACTGTTAAGATCTAGTATTAAAGAAAAGCATTGAGCTCAAAATCAATGTTTAGGCCTACGGGTTCCAGACTATTACGTTTAAAAATCCATTTAGCCTCAGTCCTATCTAGAGCTTTCACCAAATCGCCTCCTCTTGAATGGATATTCACTTTCTCAATAGCTAAGAATTCCATACCCCCTGGGTCATTTGAGTGATATGTGGAGAAGTGTCTGGAAAGATTATGGGTAGTTAGTCCCTTTTTGATATTTCGGATATGCTCCCCTAGTCTTGTCTTGAATTACCTCTTGGTTCTCCTGATATAGTACTTCCTACAGGGACATTTTAAAAATGTAGATAACCCCGACTGTGTTGCAGCTTAAGTTGGTCCTTATCTTAAAGCTTTCATCTCCTTCCATGTTTTTGAATTATTTGGTGATGGATACTTGTGTTGGGTTGTTCCTGCAACCCAAACATTTATTACATTTGTGAAACTCCACATTACTTATGTTACTGTTATTATTTTCAATTTCCTTTAACGTTGGGGCTAACATCATTTTAAGGTTTGGTATCCAAAGACACACAGATACACATACAGACACACAGACACACTCAAACAGACACACATGCAAAATGTAATTTTTTTTAAAAAACTGCTATTTGCCACTGGCTTTCTATCTATGTGCCAAACTGCCCTGCTCCCCTGGCTTATGGAGAAGCCGGCTTGCCAGCCTCTTGCCACATGACTATGGCCCTGGGGTGTATGACCCTTTAAAACCATTACTTGGTCTGGTGGACTTTTATTTGGACTAGTTCTGGCCCTTTAAAAACAGTGTATGGACATATTGAAACTTTTGGGATACTTTTTCTGCCCCTTTGAATCCATGGGAAGTTGTGCCTCTTCCCCTCCCCCTGTCCCATTGTTCTCCAGCAGGGCGTTGTCCCAGGGACATTGCCAAACCAGTTGGAACTGGCTGTTTTGTCCCTCCTCTGTCAAAATATGACTTCCACCCATCTCCTGAACCACTTAACTGATTCAAGTGAATTTTGAATATGTTTGTCCCCAAATTATGCTGGCTATAAAAATATATATTTTATTAATATTGCATGTAAACTCACAACGTTACAGAAATGGCATAAAAGTATGTTTTTTTAGCTTGGAGATAATTGAGTTGGTACAGTAGTTAACTCAATTATCTCCCAAGCAGAGGGGAGGATTCTTGTTGTAAAATGTGAGTGTGATTATCCATGTGCTTTTATTGGTTGTTAAATTTACTGTTCCAGTGCCCCACAAGGTCCACATGGGTGGTAACCTTGCTGGGAAAGTTGTATATAAGCAGGAATAAACGCTCATTGGAGTCAGTTCTTCTTCACCCTCAATTTAGGCCCTGGGGAGTAAGCACAGCTAAACGGACAAGGGCACATGTATGAGTGTGGGGATGGTGCTAGTGATTGACTGTGTGTGTTTAGGGGAGTGGTTATGTGTTTGTAGTGAGGCAGGGATCATCTTACCTCAGTGCCTGTTTGGATTCTGGCCAGCAAACAACTTCCCTCCCACCCACCCTAATTTATGTTTTTTGTTTTGTCGCAGCTAGGGGGGAGCGTGTCCTTGCCAACAGGGTTGGGGAGCAGATGGAATGTCAGGAGATGGACAAGGTGGGTCTCAACCTCCCCTGCTCTGTAAGGTAAACTTTCAAGTTACCGAATTGGACGTGCCCAGTGAGCTAAGAGCCGGCTGGTGGTTAGAGCATTTAAGACGATGGGAATTTGGTTTGGTCGAGGGGAGACACCAGTGGGTAAAGTTTTTGGTGCATAGGCACCTGGTTAAGTTCGTTGGCAAGGACGGTTATTTAAGTTGGAGGCTGTAGGGCAATAAGTGTTAATGTATATGTTAATTATGGTATGTATATATATTTATGTTTATTTATATTTGAATTAAAGGAAAATAATAAAGTTCGGATATGTCCTACAGTTGTAAGTTTTAATAAATGCTGTGGCCTGTTTCATCCAATATGCATTGTCTGTCGTTATTGGGGGGATAAGTGGGTAGTCTCTTTCTTTTAGTCGCACCACATTCCCCGCTACGTACATACAAGAGTCTTGTCTCTTATTGGGGGTAACCGGCTATATCACTACAAGGGATTGCTATGCTCTGCATGCTCCCTTGAATAATCGCTTCTAAGCTCTTTTAAGAGCTTGTTCCTGCTTCACTCTCTTGGAGGAGAGGTTCACCCACTGGAGTCTTGTCATAGGTCCAGGGTGGGTAGGAGAAGGCGAGACCCCAACCAAGCTTCATGGGGTCTGCGGTGGTTGTGGTGAGTGGCGGAGCGCTTGAAGCCCTCTGGAAGCAATAGTTATTTTTTACTTGTTCCATTGCAACGAGAACCTATACCATTTGTAAATCAGACTGAACCCACTAATAAGGGCAGTCTAGAACTGAAATGCCGGCAGGTTCTCTCTCTAAACAAGTTACAGCAACCCCAGATGATCATTTCAGCCTTCTTTGGGCCTAGTCAGTAAGGTATAGCTGATAAGCCTCTAGGCACAGTGAGCATGGGGTTCACATCTAGATTATCCTTTCAACATATGAAGATCCTAAGCAAATGCATTGCAACAAAAACAGACAATATGAGAACCTAGAGAAACTCAATAGCTTTCCCTCCAATTAGTTCCCACTCAGGTCTTAAAAATGTTTTTGTTACTTGTACCTTTACAACCTGGGGATCATTTTGGCTTTCTTTGAGCCTGAGCAGGGACTAAGTGAAG